CACATTAAGCACATTTTACTTTTATGAATAGCAAAAACATGAAAGATGGTGTTGAGGGGAAAATGCATCATAGAAAGTGGTAAGCAGCGGAAGAGAAATCCTTAGAAATATTCGGGCCCAGAGAGGGATAAGAGCTGCTTTAGGCTATAGAGAAGAACTTATCAATCTTATGGGTGGGGAGTCACATGAATTTGACCTTGAAGAATCAGTAGGTATGATCAACACATGGTAGTTCACACTGGAGTATCTTTCTGCATATGAAGCATATGCAAAGAGTTACTCTCAAACAGACTTCCTTCTCCTAGCCAGCTCACCACAGGTCACTTTACCCAGAAGTTAAATGTGTTGACAAATTTGTCTTGTAATATCTGCGCCATCCTATTTTGTCATTACAGATAAGAGTTGAGTGGGTTTATAAAGAGGGGCATTAAGTGGATTGTATTATGACTCTTAACGATTATCTTCATATTCTTTGGCCCTCCTAAGGAAATTGGAAGGTAAGCCACAATTTGTTCAGTGTAGCATTATTATAGTAAAAAACTGGAATAGTTCAAATAACAAAAATACATGAGTGAGTAGAGTATGTGAATGGATATTTCACAGCCTTAAAGGTGTCTATAAGGAATTTTAATGACTTATTGGAAGCTTATGATAAGTGTAAAACAAAACAAAACAAAACCAAAATGAAAAAAAAAGTCTGTTTGGAGCCTCCATATGTCAAAACTTCTATAAGAGGTTGAAGACACAGGTCTTCATATCAGCACTAACAATCCAACTTCCTTGGTTATCATATGGTCAGGAGTTTGGGACAAAGGAGACTTTTAGTCATCTTTTGGGTTATCTCCGATTAAGATGGTATTCTGTCAAAGATTTCCTGCAATAAATATTAGGCGCTAGGGCCACCACATGCCGCGCTAGACAAACAGATAAACAAGGGTGAAAAAGGAGTCTATGCCCGGGGGCTGCTGGGAGTTACCAAGTCTGGGTGTAACTTGCACATGCTGGGGAGAGCGCCAGATCCATTCCTGATTGGAATTCCAGAATTTAATTGAAAGTGAAGCAAACGGGAGGCTTTGACTTCTCCCACCCACAAGGTGGTGGTGGGACTATTCTCATCAGAATGCCTCATTCCCTTCTGGAAATTCGAGACTCAAACATAGGGATAGAAGCGCTTTCCTTCTGGGAAAACACGTCCACGTTCAGGGAGCAGCAACCCAAGAGTATGGTCCCAGGCAGACCACAGAATAAACGTTTATGGAATAACCGTAGGAGACTTGCATTGAGGTAAGTGCCAACCACAGTAGGACCCTGTCTCCTGGGGCTTGAAATTTTGTACTTTGGGAAATCTAAGTGTGCAGATGTTTGCACTTTTGATACTTGTGTCAGTGGCTATGGACATTGGCTAGCCTTGGGTCTTGCAGCCCCAGAAAGGTGAATAAAGGACCATGACAACCTTTTGTTCCATAGTCTACCACTGGGCTTCCAGTCACCTGCTGGCTGGTGTCGACCTGTCCACCTGCCCTTGCCTGACTGAGGCAGCAGAGGTGATGAAGGTTGGGGGGCAGGCATGCAGAGGGCAGGAAAGGCAGGGAGGGCCTTGGGCTGCTTTGAGGAGGCCTTCCCAAGACTTGCCACCTGTTTTCTGCTCTTCAAACCCTTCTCACGCCCTTCTTTCTACACACAGTTCAAGGGTAACTGCCCTCCGCAACTGTGGCCCAGCTTACCCGTGACCTTCATCTAGCCTCATCCCCCAGGCTGCATCTTTTCCATTCTTTCTTTGAAACAGCCTTATCTTGAGACTTTTGTGACTTCGGAAAGATAGGGTTTCTGATGATCACAAGACCACTAATCTCCCAACTCTGTAACCTCCCAATCTATGGTTTAGATTTGTTTTGAATCCGTATTTAGGGGCAGGGTGGGGGGAGGGCGCCTGGGTGCCTCAGTCAGTTAAGCGTCGGACCCTTGATCTCAGCTCAGGTCTTGATCTCAGAGTTGTGAGTTCAAGCGCTTTGTTGGGCTCCACGCTGGGCGTGGAGCCTACTTAAAAGAAACAAGAAACAAGATTTGGGCCCAAGCTTAACTAGGTAAAACGATGAAATGATCTCAGATGTGGAGATTGGTTCAGGAGTATGCCTCGTCTATTTTTAAACTGAAAATGTGAGGTGAGGGGGAAAGTGTGACCAAGTAGTGTTCTGTGTTTTTTAATTTGCTTTGGGCATAGTATAATAAAGGTGTCATTTTCTAAATCTGGATTATTCATGGTCTATTTTAAATCCTGGGTTGGCTCCTGACAGGCCAGTTCTCAACAGGACCCTGGGTTGACTCCCCTCCTGTCTAGTCCTGGTATGGACAGGAAATAACAACCTTATTTTAATAGCAGCTTCCATTAATTTTTTAAAGTAAGTCAACTGAGAATTCTCATTTTCTCAAACAAAATATTTGTACTTGGACCCTGTGTATTAGCCTGGTTGTGTATGAGTCCATTAAATGGGGGCGGTAAGTGGGTTTTAAGCACCTTATTCTTGGCCTGCTGTTTTTACTATAGAAACCAGGAGAGACCCTTCAACCATCCTAGGTTTTGTTTAAAATGCCTTTTAATTAAGGGGAGTAAGTCGGAGGGGGAGACGAACCATGAGAGACGATGCACTCTGAAAAACAAACTGAGGGTTCTAGAGGGGAGGGGAGTGGGGGGATGGGTTAGCCTGGTGATGGGTATTAAAGAGGGCACATTCTGCGTGGAGCACTGGGTGTTATGCACAAACAATGAATCATGGAACACAACATCAAAAACTAATGATGTAATGTATGGTGATTAACATAACAATAAAAATTTTTTTTAAAAAAAGCCTTTTTAAAAAAGTGCCTGTCCCGGATGGGTCATGCCTCACCTCCAGATCCTTGAGGCCTCCACGTTCCTTTGGAGATGGGAAGCCTGGAAGTGTGACCAGCCACATGGCTGAAGACCACACTACCCCAGGTCCTGCCTTTCATCTGGGGCCATCAGGCTCTCCAGGTGCGCCAGCATCAAAGCGGGAGGTGCTCAGTGCTCCTGATCCAGAGGGATCTGAATGCACAGTTCCCTCAGGTGCTGGTTGATACGCTTGATGGTGGAATGAAAGCCAAATAAAGGAACAAGAGGTCCTGTTTATTACCTGTTTTCAGTACTGTTCCTTGGGGCCCTTCTGTATCTAGGGAAAATTTGTGAAGACTATGGTTTCACCTGAGTAGAAGACACAGCGCCTATTTCTTATTAACTCTGGGGCCCACGGACTGTTGGCCTCAGGCAAGGGAGTCTGTGCCCCTAAGAGCCTTTTGGAGCAAGGTGACACCCCCTGGCCTCAAACTTTCTCACTGGGCCATCATGCCCTCTCCCGCTGGAGGTGGATAATAGGGCCACTGTGGCTCTTTCTTCACTGCTCTGGACAGTGCCGTGCCTCTCCATTGAGTGGCCAAGATTGGGAACTGGAAGGGACCCTAGTGGTCATAACAGGCTTCCTCCTCCTCTTACAGGTGGGGAAACTGAGACTGGGACTCAGATTCAGTGACTTGCCCACGATTGGCAACTTGTCACTCCCAACTGCAGCTTGCTGGTGAGGCAGTGGGGTGGGATGGACAAGCGGTAGAAGCGACTTGAAATTGAGTCTCAGTTCAACAAGAAAGAGTCCCAGGGGAAGAAGGACAGCTTCTGCAGCACAGCACACAGGGCTCCCCGGGCTCGTTAAGTTGCTGGGGACTTTGCAGTATCCAGAGGATTTCACAGTTCTGCGTCTTTGGTACATGGTGCATGGACTGGTCTGGTAAAAGCTGTGGGATAAGACTGCCCTCTAGTGGGCCTGTGAAGCCATTGGTCCAGCCACTTTCACATCTCCTTAGGTTCAGTGCTGCCTTCTTATGCTGCATCCCCGTAGTGATTATTTCCTCCGTAGGAATGCCTTCAATTCAAATTTTATTCTTTGTCACACATTCTGGCCATAGAGTTGATCTCTGAAGACCAGCCATTATTTGCCCAACTTATAGGAGGTTTGATGTTTTATTTTTTTGTTGTTTTTCCCCCACCTTAGAGGTATCTTACTTCTCTAATAAAATTCAGGTTCCTAAAAGCAAGGGTTATGTCTTATGTCTTGTTCTTCCACAGCTTTCATCCTGTTGTGTGCTTAGCTGGACATGAAATTAGAAGGTTCGCTGGGATAGAAAAGATTCCTCCCTCAAAACAGAATGCCACCACTTTACATTTGTTCCTAAAACATTCTCATCTCAGCTCTCTGATCCAGAGTCCCCCAAGTGGTTGAATCATCTGAATCCCTCAGAAAACTTCCAGAACTCCGTTTCCTGGGCCTTACTCCAGCCCTGCTGAATCAGTCTCTGTGGTTTGAGCCAGGAAATCTGCTTTACAAACTTCCCAAGTGGTTTTTGATGTGTAGCCAGGTTTGGCAGCCAACTGCTCTAAATCCCCATTTACGATTTTTTTTTCATAGCTGACAGCATCTCCAAAGGTCTTCAGCTTATGTCAGTTATTAAAATTGACCATTTTGAGATTCCTTTGGAAATATTGGGTGTGCTGTTCTAACTGCAGTCCTGGCTGACATGGGAAAGAAGAAGGACCACAAGAGAAGCAGCAAAGGCATTTACTTTGGTTGCCAGGGGCTCTGTGTTCATAGCAGAAAATACTGAAACCAATACCTTTGTGCTGACTGGGCAGGTTGTGGATGTGTTTTTAATGTTTGGCCGGACAGGGAGACAAAGATTAATCGAGTACCCAGTTACTAATTTTCACCTATTCTGACTCGTCTCGTTCTCAGATTAGCCGTACAATGTAGGTAGCATTGTCCCTTTTCTTACAGATGGGAAAGTTGAGGCTTCGGGAAGTTAGTAACTTGCCCAGAGTCATGGAAGTTGGTGACTGTCAGATTCTGCATTCAAATACAGGTCTGATTTCCAAGGCCAGCTTTGGCAAGGTAAGAAGACCAAGAGTGCCAACCTGTTCTTTTTAATTCTGCCAGGCCAAGCGGGCGGTGCAGCGGGGAGCCACTGCGGTCATCTTTGATGTGTCGGAAAACCCAGAAGCTATTGACCAGGTAAACCACGTGGGGCATGCGGCGTGGCCGTCCCCCCCCCCCCAGAGAAGCACTGTTAGTTAGCTGGGCTTGTCACAGGGGCGTCCCCCTCGCCTCGGGGCTCGGCACTTGTCTGCTGACACTAGAAACCCATGTTTAGACATCATTCCTACTCCGAGGCAAGGGTATTAAGTAGGCGTGAAGAGCCAGGAAGTTGGTGGCTGGGGGGCATTTTCAAAGACCCTTTTGGGCCTTCAGCCTGCCCAGTCCGTCCTAAAACAAGAATCATTCTCTGCCTTGTCCTTCAGAAGCTCCAAGGCTATAACACTTGAGGACTTTGAGGATTTTCAAATGGTATTTGCTGTTCTTTTCCTTCAACCTCTCTCCCTCTCTCTTGATTCTTAAAGCAAGAGCGTCTTTTAACCAGAACTGTCTTTTCTTCCTCAGCTAAACCAGGGCTCAGAAGACCCGCTCAAGAGGCCAGTGGTGTACGTGAAGGGTGCAGATGCCATCAAGCTGATGAACATTGTCAACAAGCAGAAAGTAGCTCGAGCAAGGATTCAGCACCGCCCCCCTCGAGTGAGCCTCTGTCGGCCCTGGCCAGCCTCAACCGGCACCCTCTCTGCTGCTCCCTGTGCCTTTATTCCCTCTGGGCTTTGGGCTTTTGTTTCTGTCTTCTTACTGTGTAAAATGCTGATAACAGCCTAGGTTCCTACAGTTTAGATCAGACGTAAGGCTGGAGGCGAAGGACAAATGTTACCCATGTTTCTTTCTCTTTTTTTAAGATTTTACTTATTTATTTGAGAGAGAGACAGAGAGTGCGCACGAATGGGGGGGTGGGGGTCAGAGGGAGAGAGAGAGTCCCAAGCAGACTCTGCACTGAGCACAGAGCCTGATGCGGAGCTCGATCTCACTATCCTGAGATCATGACCTGAGCCAAAATCAAGAGTCAGACGTTTAACTGACTGAGCCAGCCAGGCAGCCCCCACCCGTGTTCCTTTAGAGAGGATTCGAAAAGACCTTCCAGAAATAGATGATTTTGTGCTAAAGTGTCTCTAGTCTCTTCCACCCGGCATTCCCTCTTGGTAGCCCCCTGTCCTTTCTCTTCTGTCCTGCCTCCCTCTGAAAGGCTGAGGAGGATTGAAGGAAGGAGTACCCGGCTTCCTGTGTCCCCCTCCTTCCGTTTGTCCCAGACTAGAGAAAAAGGCCTGTACTTCCTTTTTCCCGGAGGGCAAATTGCATTATTGAAAACCCCTAACTTATATTTGAATCTGGAGCACTTAGCTTTCAACTAGGATTGAAGTTTATGCCTTGTAGGTGGTTGATGAATAGCACTGAGGCTTCTCTTGAGCGTATCAAAGGGACACTGCTGGCCATTGACTCTTAACTGGCATCTTCTGCCCAAACCTCAGCCTGAAGGTTCTGGGAACCTGGGGCAGGTTTTATATATATATGTGGTTTATTTCCTTATCACAAATATTCACATATAGGATGATTCTTTTGCACACACAAAATATCTAGATACCCACAGCATTCTATTAGCAAAACTCTATTCCTCTTGGCTAACCGCATGTCCTAGATGAGGTGGCTTCAAGATTTTTGGAGGCAGTGTGTCCTGAGGAAAAGATAAGAACTCAAAGTAGAAGGGATTTGCAGAAGAACTGCCTTTGCTGGCTTCTTTTTAAAGGAAAAAAGAGCGCTTCGGTAAATGTGACTCATTGTAGTGGAAGCAGTATACAATTTTCTGAGTTGTTGTAAACCATTAATTACATGGTTAGTAATCAGTGTTCCCTCAAAACATGACACTCACTCCTTTGTCCCATAAATATGGTATCTGTGTTCGTTTGGATGGGCCTCTCATGCCAGTTACAGCAAACTTTGCGCTCGTCCACGGGGAGCTAGGCGTTCTGATGCGTGTGCTCTTGGCCGGGGGGGAGGCCCGGCCGAGACTGCAGCAGGCTTCCCCCTAGCCACACCATGGGGGGCTGCCTGGGCCCGGAGAGCACAGCACGTGTGCAGGTTAGCAGAACCGAGGTGTTGTCTGCAGGCGAGGGGAGAGACACACCCGAGCTGCCCCCACCTTATCCCAACCCGGGCTGACACAACCCGTGTGCCGATCCCCAGGCTGAAGAGACCTGTGACTCATCATGTCTGTGTTCTGTTCCAGCAACCCACTGAGTACTTCGACATGGGGATTTTCCTGGCGTTCTTCGTCGTGGTCTCCTTGGTCTGCCTCATCCTCCTTGTCAAAATCAAGCTGAAGCAGCGGCGCAGTCAGGTAATACCTCGGAGCAGCCTGCCAGCACAGGTACCCCACTGCCCTGTCACTCCTGGAAACCAGGGTGGGGGCCTGAGCTCCCCAGCCTGGTCCCGGTGACCTGGGAGCGGCAGAGATGGAGGAAAATGAGAGCCAAGCTTATCACCCTATGTCTTCTCTGTTCCAAAAGGGCCAGAACCACAAAGGCCGGGCAATGGGAGGGCTTCCAGCTAGGGGGTTTTCTCACAAAATGTCTAAATGTTCACGCGGAGCCCTAGAGCCTTGCTCCTCAGATATGACCTGGGCACCAGCAGCATCCCCTGGGAGCTTGATAGAAATGCAGACTCTCAAGCCATACCCTAGACCTGCTGAGCCAGAAGCTGCATCTTCCAAGCTCTCCGGACAATTCCCAGTAAACAGAGTAGCCCCTTTCGTGCCCCAGTGGCACATCACCATGCTCGTAGGAGGGCAGGATTTGGGGGCAGAAGTTGATGGTGAGGGTAAGCAGGAATCTAGATGTGTCCTGTGTAGTGTGACCTCTCAGGAGACACAGTGGACGCTGACAGGCAATCTGTCGAGAGGATCGCCCACTGCTCACCAAGTGAGTGGCCATCATCAGCCCAACAGAACAGTGGCTGTGTTTGGCCAGCACCCGGGCACGTTGTCTCATTTGCCCTCGGAACTTTCTTCTGTGTAAAGAGGAGGAACCCGAGGCATAGAGCAGGCAAATAACTCAGGGTCTTGCAGAGTCCGACCAACTAATTGAAGTCGACCTGTGCTGGGACTGCCATTTGGGAGAACTCTGGGTCCAGGTCGCTGACCCTCAGAAGTCTGGAAAGCCTGTGCTGTGGCATTCTGAGTGTCGAGTGCTCTCTCAGAAACCTGTTCTGGTCCGATAGAGGATGAGCGCTGTGGCCATCCCCGTGGCTCTAGGGGTGACTCCCAGTTAGTACGTCTCGGGCCCTAACCTGGACCACATTCCGCCACACAGAATTCCATGAACAGGCTGGCTATCCAAGCTCTACAGAAGATGGAAACCAGGAAGTTCAACTCCAAGAGCAAGGGGCGCCGGGAGGGGAGCTGTGGGGCGCTGGACACGCTCAGCAGCAGCTCCACATCCGACTGCGCCATCTGCCTGGAGAAGTACATCGACGGAGAGGTACGGACAGACACAGGGCCCGTCCTGGCTGGGGAGGAGGTGGACAGGTCAGCAGAGGCGCACACAACCTGGAAGGACAGGGCCCCAGGTCTCACGGGGGTGGCCGGGGACATCCTAACTGCTGCTCGCCCTGAGAAGTGGGTGGCCTTAACGCAGAGACACTCTCTCCAGGGGGCCCACCTTCTACCCACGTCATTTCAGAAGTTGATCAGGAGTATATGGTACATTTATTGACTTAACTTTAGAATCACTCTTCTGAAAACGGACACTTGACTCAAAGCAAGCTTCTCCTGCAAAGCCACGTGGGATGCTGGGTGTTTTTACTTAGGAGACAGGGGATGGGATGGCCCCCTTTTTTCTTCTAGCTTTTTATCCTAAAAATGTCAGACCTTCAGGAAAGCTGCAGGAGTCATACACAGTGAATGATGTGTCATTCGCCCGCAGATCACCTTTTGCTAACATAGTGCCGCGTTTGCTCAGTGTCCTCGCAGACAGAGATGTGCGTACACACACGTTTTGGGGAGTGGGGAGCAAAGTAAGAATCAGTTGCAGGCATTCGATGCCCCTTTAATGAAAGCGTTCCACTACCGTATGGACTATGGGGTGAAAATGAGTTTTTGCAGAGGTCTTTAAATTAAGAGAGTCTTGAATGGTCTTTAGGTGCAGACTGCCTATATTCCAGTCCTGGCCCAGGCAGGTTCTAGCTTTGTGATCTTGGGCAAGTGACTTCATTCTCTGTGCCTACGCTTGGGACATGGGCCCAAGACTGACATGTGCTTCAGGTGATCACGAAGGTTACACAAGAAAATACAGGTAGAACTCTCCCACGGTCAGGAACAACATTAGGTATTAGTTTGAGCATTATTGTATTGAGCTGGTCAGAGAATGGAAAAACAGAGTAACACTAGCACACTTGGTGGGGGGAGAGAGGGTGCTTTGGCTCAGGAACTCCAGAGGTGGTTGTGCCTCAGAAAACTCCATCACCTCCTCTCTGCATAGGCTGCTGTGTTATAAGCCGTGTTCCCTCAGGTGAGTATTCACGATCCAGCAGGACAGGAGAACTTTTTTTTCCAAGTCCCAGGCGTCTTCCTTTCTGCTCATCCCCAGTTGGAAGGCCTGGAGGGAGCCACCATCCCAGAGATACATAAGGTCTTGGGGGGTACCTAGCCTTGTCTGCACACGCCCAGGGCTGCAGAAGCTCTTGGCTTTGGTCTTCCCTTGTGTGTGGCATGAATGTGAATGCCTTCCTCTGGCAACAAGAAGGGAGCCGGCTTCTGTGTGCTTCCTTCCTGAACGCCGAGGACTGTGGTTGGGGCTTCTCCCTAGAAGCCAGACGTGGGTGCTGACTCCGGGAATCGTGTCCACCTGTAGCTAGAGACCGGGAGGTGGGTGAGGAGGAAGCCGCTGGTATTGGCATGATGAACAGGGTTTCTTGGGCCATGCTGGACTCCTCAGGAAGAAGCACGTGCGGGGCTGAAGGCAGGACTCCTGACTGCCTGGGCCCTGCCTTCAGGCTGTGTGTCCTCTCTCCCTTCCCAGGAGCTGCGGGTTATCCCCTGTACTCACCGCTTTCACAGGAAGTGTGTGGACCCCTGGCTGCTGCAGCACCACACCTGCCCTCACTGTCGGCACAACATCATAGGTAATTGTCACCTGCCTCCGTTGTTGCGGCAAGAGTCGCTGTCCCTACCGAGTGCCTAGCAGGTGTGTGGCACATGCTACAGACTGGTGAGCGAGCACTGCCCTCCGGACCTGGAGGTGTGGGGAGGCAGCCTCCAAACCCTCGGGAGAGCCTGGCCTGAGTTCACATTCTGGCTTTCCCAAGAGCCAGCTTCCTGACCTTGAGGAAGGCGGCTGGCCTCTGCAGGCCTGAGGCCCATACTCGCTTCCGCAGGAACGACAGTGATGACGCTCCGTGCCCAGTACTGTGGGGTCGTTCCGGTGCCCCGAGAGACGAGCACGAGGTGGCGGGGTTGTGGTGCTGCTCCTGCGTCCCGGTCGTACCAGATGAGGGGCCGGGATGCAGGCCGGACTCCAGATAGCTGTTTCTCCGGGAGGGAAAGTGCCTTTCATCTTGGTCTCTTTGCTGCTGTCTGCAAACTCCCTTGGCGTCTTTGTGAGGCTGAGCCCAGGGGAGGCGGGAGGTGGGCCCTTACAGGTGTGGCCGCCCCGCAGCCGGAGAGGTGGCTCAGCCTCTGCCGCCGTGGCCAGGTCTGGTGACGGCCTAGCCGGGGCCCGGGTCCTGAGACGCGGCACGTGGGCGCGTGGCCGAGCCCGCTGCTTCGCTCTCTGCCCTCGTTTCACCCCTCCGGCCTCAGCCCCGCTGACTTTGTCCCCCCGCCTCTCCCCAGAGCAAAAGGGAAACCCGAGCGCCGTGTGCGTGGAGAGCAGCAACCTCGCGCGCAGCCGGCAGCAGAGGGTGATCTTGCCGGTGCACTACCCCGGCCGCGTGCACAGGACCAACGCCATCCCCGCCTACCCTACCCGCACGAGCATGGACTCCCACGGCAACCCCGTCACTCTGCTGACCGTGGACCGGCACGCAGAGCAGGGCCTCTATTCGCCGCAGACCCCCAGCTACATCCGCGGCTACCCGCCCCTCCACCTGGACCCCGCCCTGGCCCCTCACCGCTGCGGCCTGGAGCACCGGGCCTACTCCCCGGCCCACCCCTTCCGCAGGCCCAAGTTCAGCGGCCGCAGCTTCTCCAAGGCAGCTTGCTTCTCCCAGTACGAGACCATGTACCAGCACTACTACTTCCGGGGCCTCAGCTACCCCGAGCCGGAGGGCCAGGCCCCGGCCAGCCTCGCTCCCAGGGGCCCGGCCCGTGCCTTTCCCCCGAGCGGCGGCGGTGGCAGCGGCGGCAGCGGCGGCAGCGGCGGCGGCCTGCTCTTCCCCACGGTGGTGCACGTGGCGCCGCCGTCCCGCCTGGAGAGCGGCAGCACATCGAGCTTCAGCTGCTACCACGGCCACCGCTCGGCCTGCAGCGGCTACCTGGCCGACTGCCCGGGCAGCGACAGCAGCAGCAGCTCCGGCCAGTGCCACTGCTCCTCCAGCGACTCCGTGCTGGACTGCACCGAGGTCAGCAACCAGGGCGTGTACGGGAGCTGCTCCACCTTCCGCAGCTCCCTCAGCAGCGACTACGACCCCTTCATCTACCGCAGCCGGAGCCCCTGTCGCGCCAGCGAGGTGGGGGGCGCGGGCGGCTCGGCCCGGGGGCCGCCCGAGGAGCTCCCGGCGGCCCACAGTCAAGGTGCTGGGCGGGGAGAACCTTGGCTCGGGCCTGCCTCGCCCTCGGGGGACCAGCTGTCCACCTGCAGCCTGGACATGAACTACAGCAGCAGCTCTTCCCTGGAGCACAGGGGGCCCGCTAGCTCTACCTCAGAAGTGGGGCTCGAGGCTTCTCCCGGGGCTGCCCCAGACCTCAGGAGGACCTGGAAGGGGGCCCGCGAGGGGCTGTCTTGTGCCTGCTGCTGCGAGCCCCAGCCCTCCACACTGGAGCCCAGCGTCACAGTGGCGGGGGGCAGCACGTCGTTCCTGGGCCCCACGGGTGGGGAGGCGCAGCTGGGGAGCGCCCAGGGCCTGCACGGCCTTCACCCAGACCGTTTGCCCAGGACAGAAGGGGTGAAGTGTGAGGGCCTGCCCTGCTGCTTCTATGAAGAGAAGCAGGTGGCCCGCGCCAGCGGAGGGGGCAGTGGCTGCTACACCGAGGACTGCTCGGTGAGCGTGCAGTACACGCTCGCCCAGGAGCCCCCGCCCGGCTGCCCCCCGGGGGCCCGGGACCTGAGCCGGCGCATCCCCATCATTCCGGAGGATGTGGACTGTGACTTGGGCCTGCCCTCGGACTGCCAAGGGACCCATGGCCTTGGGCCCTGGGGTGGGACACTGGGCCCGGATGCCCTGCGGCCCCACCGAGGCCTAGGAGCGAGCCAGGAAGAAGAACCAGTTCTTTGCTGCCAGGCCAGGGCTCCGCTTCCACCCGGCTGCCCTCCGGAGGGTGTAGAGGCTGCCGGGGCCAGCTTTCCCGGTCCCCCCCAGGACACTCAGGAGTCCAGTGCCCCCGCCACTGAGGCTGCAGGTGAGAACCGGAGAGCACAGTAGGCCAGAGTCGGGCTCCTCCTCTTTCTGAAGGTGGTTTTCTCAGTGACTTCCTCTGTGCCCCTGACTTTAAATGCCATCTGCACCTGGTGACTTCCAAAGCGTTAGTCCCCACCGCAGCCCTGCTCTGCGTTCCACTGCAGCACTCTCAGATTCCTCCTTCTGTGTGCCCCGCCCCTGCCCCGCTTCCTCCCGGCTCCCCACCCAGATGCTGGGCTCAGACCCGGCACTCTCCCGGAACCCGCCCCGCCCTCCATATTCCAGTGTCCTGGGCTTCTCAACCTGCCTGTGAGGACCACGTGGGCTTGTTTTTTTGCCCCTCGTCCAGAAAATCGAATCCCCAGAAAAATGAGACTTAGCAAAGGACTTGCAGAATCCAAGTCCAGAATTTTCATTCCATTCAGACCTCATCAAGTTGCTATAAAGTTTCCAAACATTTTGTGTCGATAACAAATAGTCCGGCACCTTTGACACATTCCACTTCCAAAGTATATCCCTAATTTATCTCTCGTGCATCCCCACTTGCTGTCTCCTCAGGCAGTCCCGTTTCCTCTCTCCTCGGCCAAGGCAGTGGCCTGACTGGTCTCTCACTGCTCATAGCCTTCTGTTCTGCACGGGAGCCACGAGGGTCTTTTTTGAAATATATGTCTTTACACTGGAAAACCCTTCAGTGACTTGCCACTACCTCTAAATTTTAAAAATATAAACTCCTCACCCCATTCTGCATGATCTGCCCCCTGCCTTCCCCTCGGACCACCTCCTGCTTCACTCACCTCCTTGCCACTTGAGCCTTCTGTGGCCTCTGTCCTGGACCCCCAACAAGCCAAGTTCATCCCAGCTTCTAGACTTCTCTGCCGCTTCTCCAGCTCTCCGCTGAAATCCTGCTCTCCAGCCCTGCCCAAGGTCACTATCACAGCCTCTCTGCGCTTCCCAGGCTATGGCAATCTGAGGCTACTTTGTTCTGAGGTCTGTGGGCTCTGGGAAGGGGTCTTCTCTGTTCTTCCCAGTGCCTGCAGCAGTACCTGCTGCTCATCTTCGGGATGTTGTGTTTTCCTGCTACCTCAGGGCTTCCAGAAGCCTCTGCATCTCCAGATGAGGGAGGCAGGTTGGCTGGCTGGGAAGCACCCGTGCCTCCAGCACAGCCTGAGGATCTCTCGGCAAAGGAGCTTTGCTTCAGCCCTGTGCCCTATACATGGTCCGTCTGGTGTTGGGAGCTGTCACTCCCTGAGAGCCTGTGACACTGGGGATGGGCACCCAAGTCCCCTGCCTGGGCCCTGTGTGTTGTGCCAGTTCTGTCCCCTTGATGGTTTGTCTCTCTCTCTAGGACAGAGATCTCCCCCAGCAGATGGCGGCACGGGAGCCTGAGCTCAGAAGGAATCTTACATGGAAATGGGGACTGTATGGAGACTCCAAGCTCTGATCTGACTTCCTTCAGAAAAAAAAAAAAAAATTTTTTTTTAGCTTTGACAAACACACAAAAGTGGTAATAAAGAGAGCCCTCCTTCTCAACCCAAAATGTGAGCCACCTGTGGCAAAGTGCCCCGACCCCTCCATTAACAAACCAACAGACAAAATTCTCTGAGTCTTTTGCCTCTTTTGATAACATGGTATATTCTGTTTTGTAAAGTGTGTGTGCTTGGGGTTCTGAGGTGTGTGGGATTGAGTTCTGTGCTTTGTTTTTTAAGATATTATATGTAAATGTAAAAAGTTATTTAAATATATATTTTAAAGAACCCTAACTGCCAACTTTTGCTGAAAAAAAAAAAAAAGAAATCACTGCTGCATTAATTGAACCACATCATGTGTAGATACTGTTGTCTCCCTGGAGGGAGCTCAGGCCTTTGAAAAGCTCAGGGCTACACCTGCCTTAGAAAATGAACCAGAAACTTGAAGTAAAGCTAGTTGATATGGGTACAAACTCTGAGGAACAATGCAATGCTGCCTCTTTCTTTCTTGTGGCAAATCCCAACGTACAAAGTTTCGGGTCTTCTCAGAAGCCGTGCCTCTCCAGCCCACACCTGTAGGCAGCTGACAGGAACAGCTAGGGATAGGGCGGAAGGTCTGCCGCTCTGAGGAGCTGGGACAAGCCATCGCTACGCAAGCCCCAGGGTGACAGGGACGATTCAGCCCAGTGTTCCTCAGTCTGTCCCTTCAGGTCATCGTCTTGGGTAAAAGGACAGAGTTCACGATCCTGAAGTCGGGCTTCCTACCACTGGCTGCAGAAATGGTTTGAAGGGGTGTGTGGGGACAGACACCCAGGAGGAATGTAGTTTTGCGGCCTTAGTGTCTGGGGGTGGAAAGTGCTCTCAGTAAACCCAGAGAAGGGACAGAGGGCGCTAGAGCGCACCTGCGCCCGTGGGTCCGTGTGGGCGCAGCCAGTGTCCTTGGGCTGCCTTCCTGGGGACCCCACAGGGTCAGCACCGAGCTCCGTTTGAATGATACATTTCCCATCCCATTTCCCTCTGGAAGCACCGCTTCAGGGTTATTCAGCCCTCTGCCTCATGGCTGAAGTTGCTCATCTCGCCTGCAAATGTCTACTATCCTTTCTAACTAGTGCACTATTATGTATTGATTCTCCATGAGACTATCAGTTAGTTTAGCCCCAAAGGGTAGGTTTTTGTATATTTTTCCAGCCTTTTGCTGTTCTTGTTTCTAAGAGGGAGGGAGAGTTTTAAAACCCAAACCATTTTTTTTTAAAAGATGTTTCCATTGTAAAAGGGAGAATCTATTTACAGCTATTTCAGATCAGGGATCGTCCTTTTTGTTGAACGTACTTCTTGTTCTTAAGAAAGTTTTGTTTTTTGTTTTTTGGGTTTTTTTTTTTTAAAGAAAATAAACCCATTAGCCCTTGTGTTCACTAACTCTTCTGGTCACTTTTACTCATCTTATTCATTTATTGTCATCTGAACCGCTCATTTGCAGAACAGGAACCTCACCACCTTGCCCCCCCCCCCCCCCGTATAGTGGGGAAATAGAGACCGCCCAGGGTTGCCATCAAAGACAGTGATGACCCCTCTCCAGTCAGGCCAGGGTCCACACCAGAATATTTTTGGCTGAGAATCTCACTGTATCCCAATCCTTTTTGCTTTTTTTTTTTTTTAAACCCAGCCTGTGATGAGGAAATTTACCTACTTCTAGCCAGGCTTTGACAGAAATTCCAGCATCAAATGATCGAGCCATTTGCCATTTAGGAACTCAGTGCGGTGAGATTTGTCCTCCAGCCTCTGAGGTACAGTCCCTTGGGGGCTGCTCCCCCCGGGTCTATGCAGAGCACACCTGTTGGCGAGGGTGTGAGAAGCGTCCAAGCTGTTGACATGTGATCCGGGCCGCCTTTATTTCTCGGGCCAGGAGTAGCAGCTGCTGAGGACAACAGCTTGCATTACGTGGTTTTAGGGAAGGGGGGTTGGGATGGCTTCTAACATAAACTGCAAAAAAAGCAGCTTCTCATTGTTGAGATTTTTGTTGTTTGTGGTTTTGTGTTTTTTGTTTTGTTTTGTTTTGCTTTGTTTTTAATGCCTTTGAGTGCATATTCTCTCTCCTTTGTCTGAAACCATACCCCCAAAGTGACTTTCTTTAGCCTGGTCTGGGAAACTACTCCTCAACAGCCTTAAGCAATAAATAGATGAGTAGATAATGTGGCTTCCACGGGGCTTATTAAAATAAATGTGTCCAATTTTCATTTGAAAGAGCAATAATTACAGATGGCAAAAGAAACAGATTTTTGTAGTTTACAGGGCAGTAGAAGCAGAAAAATGAAAATGTTAAAACTTTAAATATCAGCCATTGTCTTAAATCTCTGTTGGCCCACCAGACAGGGAGGTCACCAGAATATAGTAACCAGCTATATTCTTGCCTTGCCATTCAAATCAAAAGTAATGTCTTCTCTGAAGCTGTAAGACTCCGGTAATGAGGACCAGTACCTTTGTCAGGGGCCTCTCAGTGGTCTGTTGGGGTCTTACAGCCTTGGAAACTGGGAGCATCACATTTTCCATTGAGAATCACCACCCCACCCCACACCTCACGCCGGAGTGTGACTGTTAGGCCTGGTCCCATGGCCCAGCCCTGGGTATGGGATAGCCATGTAAACTGAAGAGTACTGGAACCAGTTAAAAAATGGGGGTTTGGGAGTTCTGATCAACAAGGTACCTCTTTATGCTGGCTCTGACTCTCAATCTCTCCCGCCTCTCTTGAAACCCAAGCCATTTTATAAAGCCCGATCTGCTGTCCCACCACTCAGACCCCCCCCCTTATGTGCTGCTAGTTTCTACTCAAAGCTCATGCAGGACTAATGCTTTTAAAATGAGGTCTAAAAAATAATTACTAATCAGAGTATTATTTTTTAAACAGACCTGCCTTTTTCTATTCTTTATATAAACTATTGTGTTGGTCTAACAAGACACTATTTTGAAATGTTTTTTTTTTTATTTCTCCCATAGCACTTAAAAGATATTTTGTAAAGACTTTGCTGTAAAGATTTTGTAATAAAATGGTCTAAGGGCTCCTTCTCCAACATTACCATTTTTTAAATGTTTTAAAGGCTAGAAAACAACTTATGTATATTCTGTATATGTATAGCAGCACATTTCATTTATGGAAATATGTTCTCAGAATATTTATTTACTAATATATTTATCTTAAGCCATGTCTTATGTTGAGAGTGTGACATTGTTGGAATAATCATTGAAAATGACTAACATGAGGCCCTGTAAATACATGATAATTGCACACAGATTTTACATATTTGCCGACCAAAAATGATTTCAAACAAGTTGTAGTCTTCTATGGTTTTGTAACAAATTGTACAAATGACTGTAAAAAAAAATACAATTTTATCAAGTATGTGTTACATGTTGTCATTGCTCTATTTGGTAAAGGTCTACAGATCCCACCAAGGAGAGGTTTGCATGACACAGTGCCTTTAACTCTTCTGCCTTGTTCATGTAAGTGTCTGTAGGATTTCCTCCCCTGGTAAAGTAGAGGTCGTGTTGTTGGGGCCTGGGGTCATGTCATGAGAGAGCGTCTGGTAGAGAACGTGTGGGATTATGTCCTTGAGGCGGTAGTGGCTTTTCTGCTCAGCCCTGTGTGGAGGCTGTGAGGGAAGCAATAGTCCGCTTTTAAAAAATAAGGAATATGGGCCATTGACTTCATCTGCCTGGCTTTTTCCTACCTTGGAAGACCGAGAGACCCTCAAACCCCTATTAAGGAAAGGGGCTTGTAGGGAAAAGACCCCCAAGCATTTAGCCCTCGACATGACCTAATCATGAGAGTGGAGAAGGGCCACCAGTATGAAATGAATCTCGTACCCATTTGTCTTATTTCCCAGGGAGGCAGTTACTAATTTGTAAAGCACTCTGAGATTATGCGGAAGGTGCAAAGTGGTGTTTATTTTTCAGACATCTAGCAGAGAATATCCATTAACCCTGTGAGCTCCCGTTCCTATTTCTCACTCTTTAATTTGGGCCATTTCTTGGGCACAAGCTCCTCGTGGACCCCCAGCTGCTTCCGGCCAGGCAGTGGGTCCTGAGCCCCTTGAGGAGTTGGCAGCCTGGCTGTACAGAGCCTCCCAGAGCTTTTGTTTGATGGTCTTGCCCAGCTCCAGGCTGTACCTCTTGGGGGTCCCAGAAGGATTCCACAGCATCGGCTCGACCACCGAGTGGTACAGAGCCCTGTAACCCTCTGCGGGGAGGCCATGGATGGTTAACTTGTTGTCCGACAAGTGCTGTCTCTTTCTGGTTTTGGGAAGCAACGCTTGGCCATTCCAGGCCGTTGTCCCAGTGTCCCCGGGTCGTGCTTGGGTGGCAGCCACATGTTCAGCATATCTGCTCTCAAGATCTTGGCGGACGGTTACTGTTTTCTCCTTTGAACTTTCTTTACTCTAGCCAGGAAGAAAGCAGAGAAGTCAAAGCTAAAACTTGAGAAGGGAGCTCCGAATAATTATCTGGGATTTGTGTCCCAGTGTCTTGGTTCCAGCCACCACCACCATTTGTCTAGCGTGTTCTGGTTTCCTGAATTCCTTCATGTATGCCACTGCGTGCGTTCCCCATAACCCTGTAAGGTCAGCAGGAGACCGTTTTAAAGGCAAGGGAACTGGATATGTTTGGCTCAAGTCGGCACGGTGAGAAGGTTCTTAACCACAGTGTCCTCTACTGAATGCCACGAAGGATCTTAGGCATTTACTCTGTGCCAGGTTCTGTTCAAAAACCTTGTGCATTGTATTAACTCAACCCTCATGAAACCCTATGGGGGAGAGACCGAAGAGGCTAAGCCCACGGTTGTCCTCAATTATAGTGAGAGCCGGGATTTGGAGCAGGACAGCCTAGCTCCAGGGGGCACTCTGAGCTCTGCCAGCCCCGTGGAGTGATGCACCTCTCTGGATGTAGGTTCCCCAGGTGGAAGTTCATGGCAAGATCTAAGGCTCACCTCCGGTGTTTGGGTGTGTGTGCCTAAGGGCACCACCCATCTCCGGGCCTTTCGCACCCTTATTTTCCCTACACGTCAAGTGTTTATGAAAGCCACTCCATCCTCCTGTAGAACTAGGCAGAGTGTAAATGGCATGAGCCCAGATCAGGTACTCTCTCCATTACATCATGCCGCTGCCCCCAGCCCCACCTCCACAATCCTGTCTTTAACTTTAGGATTTCCTTCCCCCTGTATAAATCACTTAAGCATTAAGTGTTCCCGCACTTACATTGCCTTGTCCCCACTCCATCAGGTTTTCTCCACCCCCAGCCATCCTATCACGTACCTTGATGCCTCCTGCTGGCTTCCTGAGCCTCGGTGAGCCAGGGCACTGCCCCACTGGCTGTCCGCCCTTGGAACCGATGGAGTTTCTTATCCTGCCCCGCGGCATGGCTCTTATTGCCAAATTGTCCTTGGACTTTAATCTCTTTGAGGGCTTTGCTTCTCCAAACCTGCTTGGTCCTGGGCAACATTTATCCTTCAGTTGTCGCCTGAGCACCAGCTTAATCAGGGAGAACGAACTGGCGACTAAGGGATTCTTTACAACTTCCCAAGAAGAGGTCCTGGGTGCTGGGGTATTGATGTTCTGCTTTGCACACGTTCTGGCCGTCCAGATGTTGGTGAGGGTCGGTGAGTCCACATAGCAGTCCTGAAGCCTGGTGTTCAGCAGGATAGACTGACGGAGCCCATAGGTGGGGATGCTGGGGTCTCGTCTCACATAGATAGGATGCTAGAATTACAAGGGGAGAAAAAGGAATTAAAAAAAAAAAAAAAAGACCAGTTCTCAAGCAGAGACTAGAAGGCCTAATACAAGCATCGTTTTACACATCATTCCTTCTATGCAGCTCTCAGAAATCTATCCATCTGCTCTCCTGCTCACCAGAGCATCTTGTACCAAGTAAGGAAACAAGGTCACAATGATATTCAGGCTCTCAAAGAACATAGCAATGCTTGGGCTGGAAGCAGAGGTTTGGGGAGCATTTATAAGGAATCAAAGACAATTCCTGTCTGCTGCAAGGCTTAGGGACCCGTGGCAGGAAAGGAATGGGGATGGGATCACTTGCGATTCCTATAGGAGCTGTAGTCACCCCTCGACCAGGCTGCAAGACAGAAATGACACCACGTAGGGCACCTGGGTGGCTCAGATGGTTAAGCGTCTGCCTTCAGCTCAAGTCATGATCCCAGAGTCCTGGGATCGAGTCCCACATTGGGCTCCCTGCTCCTTGGGAGCCTGCTTCTCCCTCTGCCTCTCTCTCTCTCTCTCTCTCTCTCTCTCTCTCTGTCTCTCATGAATAAATAGGTAGAATCTTTAAAAAAGAAAAAAAAAAAGAAATGACACCACGTAAAGTTCTGCCAAACCCTGAACACACTTTCTAACCAGACCATCATGAGCCAAGAAAGGCTGCTCAACAGGGAAATACTGGGGCCCATAAAGGCAAAAGCTCAACGTAAGTGATGCAGACCTCCATTTCCTGGGACCAGCAGAGAACAAGAGAACAATTTGGATAGAATCAGAATCACACACTTAAAGAGACCTGGCCTTCTAAGAAATGTCATCTATAAAAAAAATAAAATCATCTTACCATTATTTCAGTTGCCTTAAATTTTATTTTAGCTAGCTTAGTAGGGGGAAGAAATATGTATTTTCTTTTCCCTTTTTCTCTTTTGCTTTTTTTGGTTGTTGCTGTTGTTTTGCTTTGGTTTGTTTTAATATTTCTAGTCACCTGTCTTTCTCTGCCTCAGTCATGTATGAGCAAATTGCAGTTTGTTTAGATTTTTGGCTCACACACAGGCAGTTTTGAACCATGATCTCTAGTATTTGTGATGTCACTTTGTTTTGTGATGTGGGGGTGGGTGGGTGTTACATCATCAGATTTTATAGTTAAATTAGGCTGGAAGAAGTTCTATTTTGTTGTGCTTGCAGCCTCAGGAGCTGGTGAAGCGCTCATTTCCCTCCAGAAGGGCTTGGGTGAATTAGGAAGGTCCTCACGTTCTTAAGAAGCATTGCTTTGCACGCAACGGGAGTCAAAGATGCAGACTGTATTTGTGGATGCAGGTAGTGAGATAGATCCTTACATGTGCAAAAGTGGCCTTCTCCGTGCACATAAAGAAGGTACTGTTACATTCTCAGAATAGCTGCCAAGGTTAGGGACCAGAAATGAAAGAACACGTTCCTGCCGCCCTGGGCACCTCTCCCTACATGTCTCTCCCCGGGAGACTACATGGTTTCTGGAATGCGGTTTTATTTTACATCCCATGGCAAATTCAGTAATTAGAGCCGTTAGCAGTGTCAAGGGCTTGAAACAGGAACAAAGACGCTTCTTCCTGGTAACTCTTGGGCAATGCCTCACTCCTTATCAGGTGCTTGTCCTGTTGGTGGTTTTGAGTTTTCATACACAAAATGCCAAAGGAGACTCCCTCCAGAGGGGGAGGAGAGGGAAGTGATGGAAAAACAGAGTATGAGGCTGGCAGGAGCTCCTGGAATCGTATGTGTTGCCTGTTTGATTTTTCTGAGTGTTGTCCCAGGAGTGAATCAAAGTCTGTAGGCAGACCGCACTGCAGGCCGCGGTGGAACCACCCCCAGGCCAAAGGCATCTGGACCCACAGACGCTTGGGAGGACAATGGGGCCCATTCAGTGGGGAGCCTGGCCTTACCTCCCGCGAGGTGGGTCAGTTTTAGAGCAGGGCAGGGTGCTGGAAAAGGGTTTGTCTCTCGGAAGCCTTTGTGCATGTCTGGAGATTGGGCAGGCAAGCATCCTTTCAAAGCTGGTGAATCCCAGAGGGGTGGTGCCAGGCTCTTGGGCCACTGTCTGCCTTTGCCCGGTGTGGGCAGGGACAGAAGGGAACTCCTGGGCAAGAAAGGAATTCTGGGAGTAGCTCTTCTGTTTCTCTTCTCCCCTTCCTCATCTCGAGGCTGGCCTTCCCACACCTCTTTCCAGATACTCATCTGTATTTACTTTCCTAGGCCTTTACTCAATGCCCGGCCAGGTGACACCACTCAGACTCTGAGGAACGTGCTGAATCTCCCTCTTCCGGCACAGAGCTGTTCACACTCTTAACTTCAATCAAAATCTGCCTCCCCAACCTGCAGTGTAACTCACTCCCAGTAGGTAACCCCCATGCTCCGTGGAACTGACTCAGGGTAACATGGCCTGTGCTATTATTCCTCCTACATCAGTAAAATCTGAATTTATCAAACGCTTGCCATAAGCCAGGCACTATTACAGGCACTTCCCAAGCATCATCTCATGAAATGCCACCAACAGTCTTATGAGTTCGAGCACTGTCACCAGCCCTAGTTTACAGATGAAGAAACTGAGGCACAAGCTGCTCGAGAACCGTGCCCCAGATCCCAAAGCCTAGTAACCAACAAAGGC